TACTGCAGGTCTTAACGCGACACGAACCGAAACATAAAATAACGTTCAATCTACGTTCTAAGTTGGAACAACTGGACTTTCAGAGCTGCAATGGCTTGGAGGTGGCGATAAAAAATGGAACTTCGACGGGAGATTGTGGTGGAGCGACCGGGCTCTGATCGACTAAAGGTTTTAGTGGAACATCTGGGCTCTGATCAACTGAAAGTCGTACTGGTACAACGGCAATCTGATAAACTAAGGGTATTGCTGGTTAGAATGGACTCTGAACAACAATAGATCGTGCTGGTTAAACTGGACTCTGTTCAACTAAAAGTCGTGCTGTAACTGAAGTTACACGACTTGATCTCTAGTTAACTGAAGGTTATGCTGAAACAACTGGACTCTGATCAACTGAATATCGTGCTAGAACAACTGAACTCTCGTCAGTTGAAGGTTGTGCTTGAACCACTGGGTTCTGATCAACTAAAGGTCGTGCTGTAAAAACTAGACTCTGATTAACTGTAGGTTGTGTTAAAACAACTGGACTACTATCAATTGTATAGCATGCTGGAGCAATGGAAATCTGATCAACTAAAGGTCGTGCTGTAAAAACTAGACTCTGATCAACTGAAGATTGTGCTCAAATAATTAGACTCTGATCAGTTAATTGACGCAGCGATCCAAAATGGGTACTTAGGTGATCAGTTAATTGATGCATATGTAGAACAACTAGACTCTGATCACAACATTGACGCTGTAGCTAACCTGGACCCTTTTGAATTGATCGACGCGCTCGAAAACCTGTACTCTGATCAGTTAATTGAGTTACTAGAACAAGTGGACTCTGCTCACTTAATTGACGCTTTAACTAACCTGGACCGTTATGAATTGGCATACGCGCTAGCATAAGCGGACTCTGATCAGTTAATTGAGGCACTAGAACAAGTGGACTCTGATCACTTAATTGACGCTTTAGCTAACCTGGACCGTTTTGAATTGATCAACGTTCTAAAAAAACTGGACTCTCATCAGTTATTTGAGGCACTTGTACAACTGGACTCTGATCACTTAATTGACGGCCTTGGAATCCTGAAACCTGATGAATTGATTGACGCGCTGCAAAAACTGGGCTCTGATCAGTTAATTGAAGCACTAGAAAAATTGGACACTGATCAGTTAATTGGAGTACTAGAAAAACTGAACAGTGATCAGTCAATTGACGCGCTGTAACATTTGGACTTTGATCAGTTAGGTGACACATTAGAATTACTGGACTTTCGTAAGTTAATTGATGCGCTTAAATAATTGAACTTTCATCAGTTAATTGACGCGCTAAAACAACTAGTCTGTGATCAGTTGATGGACACGATGAAGCAACTGAACTTTGATCGCTTAATTAACGCGCTGTAACAATTGGACTTTCATCAGTAACTTGACACGAAGCAACAACTGGTCGTTGATCAATCAATTGACGCGATAAAGCAACTGGACAGTGATTACCTAATTAACTCGCTATAACAGTTGGACTTAGATTAGCTAATTGACGCACTAAATGAACTGGACTTAGATCAGATAATCTACGCGCTGTTAGAACTGGTCTTTGATTAGTTGCTGGACGCGATAAAGCAACTGAACTTTGATCGATTGATTGACGCGTTATAAA